TGCTGTCGCCGCCGCCGCCCGTCGCCCAATTCTATAGGCCCTTAGCTTCTTCGTTTTTTTTTTCTCGAAATTCCTTATAACAGATTGATATTCAAACAATGGGTTTCCGTCCTTTTATTGGCACCTTATTTTTTGTGGCACCTTCAAATGGATCTACCTATGTTCGGACAAAATCACAACCTGTTCCGATCTGCGGAGATTTTGCTGTCTGTCCCAAATTTTCAATTCAAATTAGTTGTGTCGAGGCCATTCACAGTTTTTTTTAAGTTCAGTGTATTCTCTTTCGCTGTGTTTTATCCTTATCGATTAGGTATTTGAAATATTGTTTTTTAATGATTACCGAGATAGGTATTACCTGCAAGCAGTAAATGTATGTCAATGCTTCTAAGTAGATATGAGTCCTTAGTCCCTATTTCAAAAAAAAAGGAATCTGTGTAAAATATGTAAAGACAGAGTTCCGATTTCAAAACATAGGCTGTGCATTTTTTCAGTTTAGTCTTACAAAACTTGTAAAATAAGTGGACAAGCCTTGTGTAACACCTTATTTCATAGTAACAATTTATAATAATGCGCTGACCAGAATTAAGTTAGTATTTAGTACACATGTACACTATTTACTTTTAAAACAATTCGGTGTTGAAATTAAGTGATAAAAGAGGACGATGATTTTGTTATTCAAAAAAAATTCAACACATTGGTTTTGTTTGTTATATAATTATTTATGAAGTATTCAAATAACAGTCGATAATAGACATCGATTCCTGTTGTAAAAGCTAAAAATAATAAAAAACAAATAGATTCGTGAAAATTGTTTTTACTGTAAAATAGGATGACGGATGATCAAATCAAATAAAGCGGGCCGGCCCAGTATCCCGAGAGTATTTGCTGCCTTGGTATAATATGGTAAGCCATATACATAGGTACCTACTTTTCCTATAACAAAACTGGTTTAAATTTTCTTGGAGAGAAATATAGACAACAGTAGTGTGAAAATCTAAATAGAGTTAAATCCTGATTCCTGACAAGGGATTTTAGTAAAATTTTTCCTTGATCATTTTCTGATCGATAGGTAATTCAAATAAACAAAGGTGATGATTCAGTTTTCGTGCAATGCTATCAGTAAAATTTGTTTGTAGAATTTTCCATAGACCAGTTCACTCTAATTTTGTTATTGTGTATGCTTAAACAGTATCTAAATAATTTTAAATTAAACCTTTTATTAGGTTATGAAGAATTTATTAATTTGTTTCGATGGATTGCCTGAACATTGATGAAAATACGCTCTGTAGCAGCTTGAAAGTAACAAGTTCTTGAAGAATTCGTCAGTCCTGTTAGGTCCTGGGTAGCTCAGTTTGAGTCTCATTTCAGAGTACTAGGGGCAAGGTGGATTTTTAGGCATTTTTCATTAAGAAGAATTTATTAGATTTCTTTTAGAAAGGCTTAAGTTTCCTTGCTGGAACTTTTCGGTGACAAGAATGAAGTCTGAAAGCGACGAATACGTTGTCAAGTAGTGAAAGAGTGAACATGTTAAACTTCAGATTTATGCAGGTGCCCATAGCTATGTTAACGTGGTTGTTGCGTTGGTAGTTGTACCAGTTAGGTGTGGCAGACGCCTACGAGCGGCGCTCCTATCAAACTGGTTTCCACTCACCGTCGCTGGCCACTACGGCCTACGCCGATTACTTACACCATAGACATACCGTCCATACATGATAAAGAACATTAAATATAATGACCGTAAAACATTGATAGTGTACCTATAATATTATCTCAAACATTTTTAAATAGTTGATAGAAATAAAAAGCAAAAGACTTAATATTATACTGAAATCTAGAGGGTACTCACTTGATCTGCTTATAAAAGGTTTGTAACTGCTTTAAACGTTATTAAGAACAAAGGTGAAACATTTTTCATCAATTTACCAGAGAAATAGTCTAATGAATGAAATAGAGATTAACTTTTCGAATACAACTAACTCCTACTAGAAAAATTTGTTTATACTTAGTGATAATCGATTAAAGTATGTTAAGGCAAATGTCAAGGAATTGATAATAATTTCATATTAAATTAAATGTGAAACCAATCCGAGGTTCTCACGTTAGTAAATATAACCACAACTTTAGTACAAGCAGTTGAAGTCAACGATGCGATATCTGCTGCAAGCTTATTCGTGTGATGTCAACGATGCGAAATGTTATCTACATCCGCATGTGCGGTCCTAAGTCCCAACACTCCGGATGACGATAGATGTTGACGTAACACTGGGCTTGTCCCAGCGGGTGGCGGGCGTACGTGCTTTCTCACACCTTCCACACAATTTTCGCAATAATTTCGCGTGATTAGTAATTTTATATCGTATATGAAAACTTCATATAGAATTCTTGGAATACTTAGATAAGATAAAGTTATCAAAGTGAAGGAGGTAGAGTATAATTCACATGAGCAGTTTGTATATCTAGACATGTATAATGCTATTATATGACTGCATTACAAAGCAGATAAATAAAAGTCAAATATACTAAGCGCATCACTCGCGAACGGTCGCAATACACGAAGTGTCAGCTCTACAAATAGTTTTATTGCATCGTGCGGCATTGACTAGGCTGGCTAGGCGCCACACTTGAGCGCCGCCGACTCTTGCACAACAATTGCAATTACGAGAACAGATAAATTGATGTGGCATCGTAAAAGTTTATTTTTTCTTCGATTTGCGAGTTTTGGGGTTGAAATTATATATTAATCTCATCAATAAAAATAAAAGAACATTAGGTTATATGTATTTATATATCTGTCACTTAAAAAGAAAATGCTTAATTATTTATTACAAATAAAACATAATTAAAGCCTAGGGTGTATATTATATTCTTTGGATTAGGTGTCATTAAGATAATCTACTAGACTACTTGTACACTACACATCCGTGAATTCAATAGCCTTCTTCGGACGTTTTCATATAGACAGTAATAATATGCTTGTAAAAATCGTTACTTGTAATTGAAAAAGTAGCCATTTCAGAATTAGATTGTTATCAATTAACATTTTTTTCTTGTTCAAGTAGTTACTACAATAGTGATCTGAATAATTTTCAGTTGGAAAAACTCAGTCAAGTGGATGTGCAATCACTAGCCAACCAAGCGACGCTTTATATGTTGATGTCGTTTTGGATTGTCGTGCAAAAAAAATATTCTATCTTGTTTTCCTTAAAGGTCTTGCTAGTCGATCGAATTGTGCGCATATGATTTACTCGCATAACTAACATTCACACCAAGTTTATATATATTGATACTTTATTGTTTTATCTGGCACACAACCTACCTTAACCTTTTAAAAATGTAATAAAGGTTTTATTTCATAGAATTTCAATCCTATGACAGCTCTATGTTCGCGGACGTTGAGTTCGACTCTGATTTAATTACAGAATAAGGCTAGTTAATTAATTACTGGTTTCTAGAGTATTGATAGCTAGCACGGCTGTACGCCTACAAGCGAGCGAGCATAGCACTGTCATGTATGTGCGGTCGATGACGCGGGTTCCTAAGCACATCATTCATTTCATGTAATCCAAGATCGTGCGTCCGTATCATGAAAACTTACTATTATATTGCATTATTCAAATGCAGGGTGCATTTTAATAATGCTCTATCGTGCTGCCACAAATAAGAAAGAGACAAACTCATAGGATAAACGGTTACGCTTCACAATCATGTAGCGTCCAATACAATGCGAGTCAAGACTTGTGTAATGAACGCGCATAATCGATTAAAATCTATTGTTTTGAAAACTAAACACTATTAATTAGTGTAAACATAAAAGGCGTTATGAAGATAAAAAAATATCTCATTGTTACTTCAGAACAGGAAATTATTTCGGTAGGTATCTGTTTACATAAAGTCACATTTGTTAATTAACGATAAAAACAAACGAAATTTAGTAGTCAAATTCAATCTATGATTTGAAACGTTTCTTCGATATATATTTGACATACTCTCACTTTGTCAATTTTGTTAAATAAAAAATAGAAACGTTTAATTTATCTTTGATAGAAATATCAACTACACAGAACCGGAGATCACATTAGTTACTGTGTCAGTAAAAAGTTGATGATATAGCTATTTAAAATATTATACTTCTTTTGAAAAAGATACAGCTGTGATTGAATATTTCTTGTATAATAATAATTAGTTATAATATCGCATGTTAACTTTTCTAAGTACCTGTGGACACGCGTGATACAGCACGTAGGCGCCAGTAGTCGAACGTTACTAAGCGACATATACAGATATATGTATAACAAAGTTATACGTTCTAGTTGTTATTAACTTATAGACTACAACTTTGTAGATTTTAAAAAAATATGATCTCTTGGAAACTGTTTAAAAAGTACGTGTTCCGTATTTAATTTGTTTTTGAATTATAAAATTAACAGCATTTAGTGGACAATTCTGTCTAAAAATGTTTTATACATATATTATTAGTAATAATCCTAACAATTTATAACATGTAACATATTTTAGGATAGATCATTTAATATTATCGAATATTCAACCACTAAACATAAACTAAGTAAAGAGGACGTTATATCACAACGAGTGCCAAGACGTATAATGCCAATGGTGTCACAATGCGTGTGATTCATTGTAACTCAAGGAAATATTTTGTCGGCTGCCAAATCAGACGATAACTCGTTCAAGGTGCAAAATTAAATAGATCATTTATATACAGAAACACTAAATGCTTTATGTATAATCAGTATGAGTAATATTAATTTATTGTTTAGGTAAGTGGTCGGAGAGTATCATATAACACTCTGGTCGTTTGAAGACTCTAGTTACTAATTATTGCGATAGTTGATTGTGAGTACCAGTAGAACTATATTTGGCAGTGATGCAATAGTCCGAACGAGTATCGGTAGTCAGTGAGTGATAGCGGATTTGATAGGCACGCAAACACTTTATTGTAGGTACTTACTTGCAAATTGCGCACGTGATTATATGTAGTGTCACATCTCTTTGTAATTGCCATTAGAATTACTACCTATAGTTATACAAATTGAATATGAACAGTATAAATTAAAAATTAATAATAAACATTCATAAAAATTAATATAAGAATACAAAATTAAACAAAACGAATTTCATGCGGTCATCAACTACCTAAGCAATTTATGATAAAAGGTTTAGGTTAGACGTAAGATTTATTAAGATTTCTCATAATTAACAATGATATTAGATGTCAGGAAAAATTATTTCAAATGAAACGTGAAAATAATATTAACAGAAAGATTTCCTCATAGATTGATTATTACTTTTACGTCATAAACTTGATAGTTATCTTTTAAAAAATTATAAGAATTCAACTGTAGCTCTAGCCCATTTCTAAAATGATGACGATATGTATTTGTATATCATTCAAACGTAGAACGATGATTTATTTTCCTGAAAAAAGTGAAATCATCGTGGTGGCTTACATTGCATCATGGATCAAAACCGCTGTCGCGAACAAAGAAATTTCCGGCCGCATTTCTTTATCAATCTATCAAAAGTTTCCCCCAGGGCAACGTGTTCTTGTTCCTAAAAGAAGGACCGGAATTTAGCTGTTGACAATGATCTCTCATCATTGTTACATAATTAGTAATAATGCAACGTATACATCTGTCTTGTAACACCAGCTATTTTATCAGATGCTATGGAGCTATTTGCGTGAATCTTTTATATAAAACTAACTGTTTTCCCGGGACTTCGCATGCGTAAATTATAACCGATGCCACTGGTGTATATGTATCAGCATTTCCGAAGATTACCGCCTACAGACAAACAAACTAAGAATCTTTACCTGTTTATTATATTATTATTGATAAGTTCATCTAATACGTAATAGATATATGTATAAAAGTTTAATTCACGAACAAATAACGCTAAGTTAAAAAAATGTTTAAGATGTTAGAGTCCTAGAGATGTAGTTGTCCAATATTATGCGTCGATTTTTATAATGAATATGTTTTACCTGGTTGGTAGAAAGCTAATGTGTCCGTGAATGAGGCGAGTCGGAGGCCGGCGGCGGGGCCCGCTGATGACCAGTCCGTCGGAACCGGTTGCCAGCGACCGGGCGTCTGGCCACTGTGCCCGTCGCCACACTCTCCAACTAACACATTGAATTCAAATCACATATTATTTCTAAACTAAATTTTATGCATCAACATTATTTTGATTGAAAGTGGAATATCAATTTCATTTTTTAGAAAAATAAACTTAATCAGCACTATAATAGTGATATAAGATAAATTAAGTAGCCTAGGTTTGATAAGAAAATTTTAGGTACCTACATTCATACTGTTAAGTTACATTTGTTAATATTTTCAAGAGATAATATGAACTTATTTTAAAAAATGTAACCAACTTTATGTTTTATGCTAGTTTACATCCAAGATATACCGACATACCTACTCGTATTTACTTTATGTTTCTTTATTAATCTTTATTTGATATAAAAACAAAACCAGTGTACCAATTTTGATAACATTTATGGAACCATTTTGGAACTATACTTACCTGTATTAAATAAAAGTACGAGTACATTAAAAACCTCTATACAAATGAATTGAGGAACCTCGTCCTTTTGTTTTGTAGTCGGTTAAAAAAAATCCTACTAGTAAGTAACTAACTTGTATACTTTAAAGATATTTTCCTTAACATGCCAAGTAATTATGTATAGTTCTTACGATTTACTAAGAAATATTGTTTTAAAATGTAGGTTATAAACTATTCAAGATGATTCACTCTATTACGAATGACTACTATAAAACAAGTAGTTTAACCAGACACTTATAAGTTATAAGTATTTTGTTGACATATGTTCTAGGTAATAATTAAAGTTGTGTAGAGTTTAATTATTGTCATATAACTTTAAACTGAAATTATAATAGTTTTAGATATACTGTGGTGAGTTTTTTAAAAGAAGCTTTTGGTAGATATTTCCCTATAAATATCACAATTTAGATTCACAACGCAGCTTATAGTTAAACGCCGACTGAGAGCCAGTATTATTGATACAGTTATCATTGCTACGATCTACAGAGCACAAACTGGTTCCCGTTCGGGTGTCGTTTTAAAGACACGTGTGCCTAACACTTCATCCTCTATATGAATATCAAATGAGAAATTTCAAAGTAAAAAGGACTCTAGCCATACCACAATAAGAATCAAAACTGTAAGTAGAGTCTAACTTGTACATAATATGTTACAGATGTGGCGGTCAGCTCTTCGAGAATTTTATATCCTTTACGAAATAATCTAATAATGCTACTTATTTTATTGGCTGCAAGGTATATTTTAAAACAACGTTGGTTTGTCTATAAGGTTCGGTGATATAATATTGTCGTATGGCGCACAATTCAGTGACGACGGCGTCGATGAGTCTGTGGGTCTGATTAGTATACTTTATGAGTGGCGGCTTCATGGCTATAATGCGTGCACACACACATATACACAAAAAATTCTATAATTTCCGATAAAAATATACATATCGGAAAAGGATTTAAGTATTTATTTTTATTAATCCTCCTACTCCGGCTAAAAATAGAAACAGACTTCATGACACTAAAGCTTATAGTATGTAGCAAAATCATCCATCACCGCTCATCAGTGTATCTAAAGTACCTTTTACTGTACTAAAATAGGATCAAAAGATTGAACAAGTGATACTAATTTTTATCTTTCTATGCCTTGTTTCGAATCACTAGAGACTTCTGAATTCCTTGCTGTAATAAAAATTGTCTTAATGAAAAATGCTTAAAAAATCCAGTGTACCAAGGACAAAGCGGATTTTTAAACGTTTTTCATTAATAATATTTTCTAGTATAGCATTGTGAATGCAAAATTTGTCAAATATAACAATTACAAAGGCACCGGGCTCGTTATTATTACTGACATCCTGATAATTAAATATTTTTTATTATTTTGTGTTCTTCGTAACAAAAACAATATCAAAATGAGTTGCGTATGAAACGCCTTTGATTCGCCATTGAGATCTAGCCCGCCTAGAAACAGCTTTCAAGCTCCATCCATATTTTGTGCTTATGATTTATAAACAGACAATAATTAACTTATCTCCTATTTTAAAAACTTTTCTCCTATTTTATTTTCTTTTTTCCATAGTAAATATTTTAATTATCATAAGTCCATATGTGTATCTACAAATTTTATTTTTTACCTTAAGACAAATATATGACATTCAGCGTAAGAGCCACCACTCTACATTTATGCGTTGTTAACGTTTTGATTGTACCATTAGAGGGTTCTTTACAGTGTCCAAGTAATTAAATGAATACAATATTCATTTACGATAATTATGTTGACAAGTAAAATGTGAGTGGGTCGGTTATAAGTTGTGCCTTCTTACTACGCTGCAAAAACTGACCGGCAATATGGAATATTTTGCGGACGCCATGATGTCATGGCGGATTAAATTACTGACTACTATGACCTTGCTTGTCAATTCTCTGTGGTACATGCTCAGCGAATGTTACCTAATAGTCGGTCTTCACTTTTTATGGTGTAGGTTTAAAATATTTTGTATTGTTAGCTATCACGATGCTCGCCACTAAGTACTAACACAGTATAACGTGCTGACGGAAGTTTTTTCCTTGTTAGCTACGAAGAATTATTTACGTTAATAACGTAAAATTCCAATAGGCGTTTCTTGGAATCTGCATCTGTTGATATTTATCATGATGCCTGTGTATTCAAAGAAACTTAAATTAGTTTGATACATCTGTGTGTCCCTTTATAATTAGTTGGCCACGTACATATTTTTTGCTTTATCTTTGCGTTGAAAGCTTATTTTTACCCGACTGCGCGACGCAAAGGAGGGTAATGTGTTTATCAGTCTATGTATATATGTATGTATGTTTGTTTCTATGTGGCGTTCTAGAGACCAAATGCGTGGGCCGATTTTGATGATTCTTACGTCAATCGATTCGTCTTAACCTTCCGAGTGTCACTAAAGACATGACAGTAATCAAAATTCACCACAGCGACAACCAGACGCCATATTGTCAAAATGAAAAAAAAAATCGACGAACTATGTCAAGTGGGGTGTCGTTGAATATGTATTTTAAAATCATCTTTAGGTTCCTTTTATCACTTTTCATTTTAAATAATAGTTTAGGATATATTACGATTTAAAGTTGTTTAACAAAACAATCATATTCGCTAATTTTCTTACTTATTGATTTAAGTTTTTATTTAAAGTATAAACGATATACAAACAAAAAAGTATAAAATAAAAATAAATAATTTAAAGAAAAACAAAAAACCCGATTGCGTAAAAACAAATTTTTAAAAATACATGAAAAAATTAACTTAAATAAAAACTACAAAGAATAAAACAAGCCCAGTAGTTTAGAATTCTGTTAAGTAATACTAAATAACTACACAATTGAAATAGTTTTATAATCGATACACACATAAAACAAATAATAAATTCTAATGCAGAACAGAACGACTCACAGTCGGGGCCCATTCAAATTTTACCAATCAAATCTTCACAAAATTTGTTTTTACGCAGTCGGGTTTTTTGTTTTTCTTTATGGTCGATGGTTAGTATCTTGGATGAAAATAAAGCAAAAATGAATTGTTTTAGTCAATACTCTTAGAATTTTTCGAACTATAGTATTCTTTGTAAGTAATTTCTGCTCTCATAGTACTCTAGCATTATAAAAGTTGTCTTATTCTTCGGAAATAAAGATCTATATTATGTGTACCTACATTAGCACCATTTGTGTTCGTAGGTATAACGTCTTATATACGTAATCAATACAACTCGTTTAGTCAACAGCCTAGGAGAGCCTCTGAACATCGATTAATTCTAATCTACATCTGTAGTACCGAATTCGCACATGAATTGGTGGTGCGTCTCGATCTGCGGTTTTGTGTCCAGCCCTGCGAAACTGTTATAATCCAGACCCAAATTAGAGTTCACTCATGTATCCGAATTCATTTTATTTAGCGTAGAAATTCTATTGATTCCATTTTTTGCATAAAAATACAAAACTAAAATGAATAAATATACGTCTCTCAGATATTCTATTCCTATGTAATTTCGAAACTTCTTATGCCATGAGACGTTATTACCAATTCTGATTCAGAATGAAGAGTGAATTCGAATTCGGGTTTGGATTTCTAACGATATGTGTAGCGATAATAAATGATGATCCATTTACCATGTTTTCATCCTAACCATATAATATGTTTTAGATTTATAATAACATAAAATATCATTTTAAAAGCTACTTAAAATAAGAACGTTAGGAGAACTGGCGAAAACTGAATTATTTGAATTTTGCAGATAATTAAAGACAATAATATCACAGAAGCTAGTAGTTAGTAATTTCCAGCTAAGTTCCTAAGATTCCCTAAAAGAAGCTCAGATTAAGTCGGCCAAACGTCACGTGACTGTTGATTGGCTGGCAATTAGAGTAAGTAATACTTAGCCGTATTATGGTAAGGCAGTTCATTTTTAAAGGCATAAACTGGCACGAAATAAAATTTAAAAGGCCTACAGTTAAGAAGAGAAGTACCTAGAATTAAATGAAGGTATTGTTTGTTTTTGCTTGGCTACTTTTTCAGAAAGAGGAATAGGATAATTTTTTCTATAAATATTATCATAGGCGTTGCTTGTTAATCTTCTGGTGCATACAGAAAAAAATAAAAATTATAAAAAAAAATGTTTGCCTTCTTCATTTCTCATTATGCAAATAATTGAGTGCATGCCATTAATAAATCATTCTGCGCTACAGCTTACCTAACCTATTTGTAAACAGTTACTTTAACCGCTGATGTCATCCTTGCGTTACATTATAATAAGGGTATATGCACGAGTGGATCATAAATAATTACCAATGTGGTATTCAATGCTTCAGCATGCAAATGTCCATAATTGCAGACAAATATACTGAATATACCTATAATACTAAAATATAAAATTACTTCATAATAAATTCTTTAGTTTATAATCAAATATATATTAGGTATTATAAAGTGCAGGAGTTTGACTCTACCTCAGTGGTTCATAACCGGTGGTACGCGGATACTGGTAGTCCCTGAAAGTATCGCAAGTGGTCCCGAAAGGGATATTTTACTATAGATAAATAAAATGAACTGTTTATAATCTATATTAAGTTAGGTGGTACATAAAAGACCAAGATTTGTCAAAAATGAAGCCATGAATGATTTTTGACATTTTAACTGTTGCCCAGACAGATTAATAAATAAATAAATATTAGACATCATATACATTTGCTCAGATGCTAAGATGAGTCTATAATCTTAAACCCCCGTATTATGGAGTATCTGAGACAACGAACCTATAAGGCAATATAGATAAGTCAATTTTCTATATTGACTCAACCGGGAATCGAACTCGGCACCTTAGAGATAACAACACTTTGAAACTACTTGGCTACGGAGGCTAAATGCTGCCAGATTAATCATGGCTTCAATTACGCGGCGGTAGAGCCACCGATCTCATGTAATAAGTAAGTAGGCGTTAACTTACGAAGGGACAATAGAGCAGACCGCAGTTAAAACAAATTATGTACGCATACAGTAGAATAATAATTGTTTGAAGATTATGATTACAATTGATTTGTCATTGTACTTTTAGCGTTTATGCATGAATCAATTTTATTATAAAATCTGTTTTCCAGTTGAATGGAATTATCTATCGTCTATTTAGGTATGGAATATTTCGGAAATAAGTATTTAATTGTGATGGGCTGACAAATTAAGTCAGCAGTTGGAGGCACTCTACACAAATACAATAAAATGTCGGCCAATAGATCAAGATGGCGAGAAATTGAGAGAAGGGTAACATGAATTTCCACCGAACACAGATAACAATAAAATATATTTGCGCATTTAAAACCACATATAGGTACACCCCATTTTGTAGGAAGAAACAACAAATATTAACATGTATTTTTGTTTTGATTGCTTACAACTTGTGAAAATTAACTTAATCACTTTTTTCATTGATTGCATAATATTAGATATATATACGTATTGATAAGTATTTTTGAGAACTTAAATCACGTTACGAACTCTAATTTCAATACATCAGTGTCGTTATATTTGCGTCATTTTGTTTTTCATGCAATAAAATTATTTATAGATTAAGATAATAAAGATAAGAAAGCCATTCCAAGTGCGTAAAGGGCACATACGAATGACACATATCACAAGTAAACACATAAGCAATACCATTTCGAGTACAAGGAGAAGTTAGTAATCTTTTATATACCCTCTTAAAAAAATTAGGTGAAGTACTTATAAAATGTGAAGTATATATATCTCTAGCGCTCTGCTCTGCCATCCATCTGTCCATCTTTTAATGTCGCGAAAACAGTGACGTCATAATGTGGTTTTCATCCATATTTCTTTCTAATACTCAAGCCAAAAGAAATAAGGTCATTTAATTAACCCTTTAAAATGCTGGTCAAAGCAGAATCTCTAAAAAATTGATAGAGATTTTGTCGAATTTTGCAATTTTTTTGTAAGTAACTTAACTATTTTGTTTTTACTTCAGTCTGTGTAAAAACAAACAGTAAATTTTATTAAAGATTTAAAAAAGTACTTTGCATATTTAAAAAAGTTAGAGCTACAAGCCCAAGGAATATCTCTTATCAAAGATCACTTTTTGAATGACGGTTTATAACGGGCTATTTTGGTATTCTCTCCATTTTTTAATATTTCATTAAAGAAAACAGTGAAAGTGCTTGAAATATGATATGAAAAAAGTGAAATCATATTTTTCCGATATTTTCTTTTTTTTTTGCAATCTTTCGCGTCTCTACAAATTTTATATAAGGTACTGCGTAATAGTGGTCATAGTATCATATACATTTTTACTCTAAAAAGTAATCAAAAATACTTGTTCAATAGTTTTAGTATTCTGTACACACACCACACACTTGAAAAAGTTAAGTTTTCACACAGTATGCACACTTCGAAAAAGTTTTTGAAAGTTTTTATTTTACATTGATTTAACTACTATTATTCTGACATACCATATTCTTTTTTTATACTAAGAAAACCTATGTTCTGTTATTTTCATTTTATGCAACGGTTTTTGACTCTAGTTTCTCTTCATTTATAAAAATTTATCAATTTCAATTGAAAAATTTATCAATTGAAATTGATAAATTTTTATAAATTATAAATGTAATTTTTATCGTGTCTCAATTGTGGGCAGTTTTTCAAGATTACTCGAGATATTTATAACAGAATAACCAACTCATTCCTAATTATTTTGTTCCTAGACGACAACAATGGTGTTAATATAATTAAACATGAAATCCAATTATAAATAGGTTATATGGTTATGAAAGGTGTGAAAACTTATATCGTGTTAAACATTTCCTAAGAGGGTGAGTTGGTCGCCGTTTTCACGGTCGCCGGACGCGAGGCAGGCGAGGCAGGCGGTCGCACCGCTCTACAAAAAAACTTTCCTCGCAACGGCGATGGCGCTAAGCTTCGAACACAAGGCAAAAAAGTGGTAACTGCTAAAAGTTAACGTGCCTCTTAAGATCTTTTGCTCTCATAATCCTTTTAGGCCGAAATAACTTGTTGATGTGTTGTGCGCTGCGGGCGGCGCGGGTGTGAGAAGGGTGCAGGAGGGGCTAGCGCCGTCGAGCGACGGCCTGTCTACGGCGGTAAGCCGGCGACACCCTGTCTGCCGCGGACGGCTACGTTGCCGTTCTGTGCACATTCTTGGCCGCTTGCGCCCCCCCTCCCGGACTCATGAACCACCCGCGCGCACAATACGACAACAATGCATGCAAACTTGTTTCGTAAACGGATGTGGCAGCGACCTAGGTAGTTCACATGCCATCTCACTTTGTCATTATAGATTTTACACGTTAGACAAAGATAGCGATAGTGGCGCTACGAGCTATCGGCTCCCACTTGCGGCATTTTTTCACGCCGAGAATGAGGCGAGATTACTGACTTAGGAAGCGTTCACCTAATTCCAAAAGTAACTAAGTTTTACACTAATAAAGTTTGCGAAATAATATGTTTTTTGTTAAAGTATACGATTGTAGAGACAAATATGTGTAAAATTGTTTTTAAACAGAAAAAATATATATCACTACATCTCTACAATTTGCTTATTAAGATTCATATAAATATTTTCAGATCGGATATGTATGATACAAGTTGATTTTATAAACCCTTGAAACTTACAACAAATTATGACGAAGTTAACACGGTTTATTTAAAAGAGAATTAATTGACTCAACTAAAGAATCATTGCAATTTGACTTACACTTTTAGACAAGAATAGATGCAGCAGATTCAGCCTCTTTTTTACATTTTATTTAAAAAATCCAACATGTGAATATGCCACTATCCACCTATAAAACGTTCACGATTGTATTTGTAATTTTATGCTTGTAAACGAACGGTTTAATCAATGCAATATTACTTGAAAAGACGGTTAATTTTGGGCTACGCATGTAAACTCGCCTTTATGGGTATACGAGCCTCGCGCGCGTCGCACACTCATATCGGGTGGGCAGCGGCGCGCCGCCAACATCCTCACTACACCGAGCGAGCAGTCAGTTCGGCGCCGACAGCCGCTACGCGCACACGTTTCTATTAATAAAATGGCCGCAGCCCACACTCAACCGGCCCCCGCGCCCTCCGACCGTCGTCCTGAGGGTCGCGCTGGTTCTCGCCGTATCTTCCCACCACAATTCAAGCTCCAAGTTCTCGAAGCATACAGACGCGATGCTCAATGTCGCGGTAATCAACGTGCAACTGCCAGGAAGTTTGGCATACATCGACGCCAAATACAAAAGTGGCTTCAAGCCGAGCCTACTTTGCGGGCAGCGCTACTGAGGCGCGCTCCCCAACCAGCACCGTCCCCACCACCATATACTGTTGGTTCACCGGAAAGTGCACGACTGCCTTCACCACCACCAGCTGCCATCTCCACAACAGTGCAGGTGCCTACTACACTGCCGGCGACTATTCCACCTCAGATAACCGTGCCATTGCCACCTGCTGCTGCTGAACCTATAGATTTATCAGTGCGTCGACCCACACCGCCACCTCCACTGAGAGCATATGTTACGAATACCACCACAGAACCTCCAAGAAAACCGTTCAAATTATTCAGACCTTACCTCCTCGAAGACAACGAGGAGAAGAGGCCAGCAGTAGCGTCCCTGCCTGTATCCAATGGTATCCACGTCTCTGCCTTTGTTCCGGTACAAAGTGCGGCTGGATGCGCTATAACTGCGTGCACTCCACGCTGGTGCGCCGCCGTGCCATCCTTCCCAGCACCACTCAGATGAGAGATAGCCACCGGGGCGCAGCCCCGCACCTTCTGTGATCTAGTCGCCGACGCTCGCCTGGCGCCGCCCGGGGCGTAGCCCTCATCAACGTGCCTTAACGAACACGCCGCCATAGTGCATTATGCCGTCATTTTGAGATGACAGCTTATTTTTGTGTATAAGATATAGAATGTATTTTTATATGTGAGTTTTTATTGATGATACTCACATTTATGAAGATTGATTATTATAATATTATTATTATATAAATAAAGAAAGTTGTTTACTATTAACAGTTTAATTTAATTATATTGTCTTCTTTCTACAACAGGTAGCGCCGGCGCTATCCCTCACCCTACATATTTCTACCTGTCAGTAATCCCAAACTTAAAGTTGTTTCTACGAATCCCAATCTATGAACACTGTAAGCTGATGGCGACTTTCTATACACATTTTTTATTGTTTCTAGATGTTTTTGGTGTTGTTGTTATGTATTTTATTTGTAGTTTTTATAATGTAAACTACGTACGTTAACCATTTACCCCAAAAAATGCATTTTAAAATAAAATGAAATTTAAATGTTATAAGAAGTTCAAGAAAAATGTTTTGAAATCAGACTAAACTTATCTTGCTCATATTTTTTAGGTAAATTTTATAATATTTTTTTTTGATAAGATAGTCAAAGATAGCCTGACTTCAAGTTCCTTGAATTTGTTAATTATGGAACTCTGGGAAATCAAAAGAAAATACTCAAAAATTATAGACACGTATTTTATTTATACGAGTGACATCGTCTTTGATCAAAAACGGATTATCGATATGTTTCTAACAGCTTAAAAACAAAACATTGCGTATTTTACATTCATTCTATATCCGAAAGGAGGCTTTTCTATGTTCAACGGGTCTGTATATTTTCATGTAAATTGTTGGTATATTTCTCGATTTCTTCTAGAATTGTGAAACTATTTTCCCGCGACTTCGTAGCTTCCTGTGTATTCGGTCACGACTTTTATATTCGGTCCAATAGTTGCGGAGCCTATCTAATGCAAACAAACAAGCAATCAAATCTTTCCTCTTTATAATAACAGTAAAAAAAATATGTCGAGCAAATAAACAAAATCTCCTTTCCTAAGTATTTCACTATGTCGAAATATTTTCTAATAGATATTTAATATTTTTATTTATTTAATCTTAATTGCCTAGTAAAATAGAAAAATGGCGGACTTAATGCCAAAGAGGCATTCTCTTCTATTCAACCAGAAATTTTAGTACAGATCTTTAAAAGCAGCGATAAACATAACGTAGGATGATATGTTTGTTACGCTATTGATATCCTACATAAGAACTATATCTAAATATATATAATAATATATATATATAAATAACTGAATATATACTTACAGGCACAATTAACCGTCCACCTTCTATTTCTTTCAATTCGCAGAAATTGCCTAACGGAATGTAAAACTATATTTAAAGAAAAAGAAACAATAAAAATATTGGAAAAAGTCTTTTATTAAAAGCTGCTTACCAAAAATCGAATTTTTTGAATCTTCAAGGAAAATTTTAAAATTTATTTTTTTAAATAATGGTGCAATTAATAGTGTGAATAGTGTGTGTTGCCACCTCTGGCCCTTATGACTTCTTGGAGCCGGTTTGTCAATCCATGATGTCTTGAATATCCGATTGGGGAATATTATGCCACTCCTCTAATGCAGCCGTTTTTAGCTCTCCCATAGTCGTTGGGACTGGTGCGGGATTGCTCGAACACGTCTTTTAAGGTTGTTCCAAATGTGCTCCATTGGGTTAAGATCGGGACTGCGTGCGGGCCATAGTAAAACTTGATTCCCGACCTCATTAAGGTACTCACTGACGGATATTGCGGTATTCAGCTTCAGTAGCGGTCAAAAAGCGATTTCTCAACACATCGGTGACAACAAAACGGTCATCTCGAGTCAAAATGCAATGATGTTGGTCTTGATCTGGCCTGCGGGTATATAAGCATGTCTCTCGAAATCGTCTGATGGCATCTCATACCGTAGTTCGAGGTACAAAGAGTGTGCGAGCGATGCGACGCCCCGCATCACCTAAAGTACTACCGCCCTATCTACATAAGTTGCATTGAGTGGCATTTTTGCAATCACAAAAAATGAGCAAACACGTTAATTTTAAATTAAACAATATTTGTCCACTATCAAAGACAACAACAGGAAATTTTAATTTGGTAACACAACAGCAACAATGTAAAACAACGACTAAATTCCGAAAACCCTTTGGTGACACACATTTAGGAAAGAAAATAATGGTATAATTGTTTATTTATTGCTAGAAAACTCATTTAACAAAAAAAATAAACAGTTGATAAGCCATAGCTGACGGAACGAAACAGGGTGATGAATGATACAGGCGGGTGGGTAATTGTGCCTGTTGAGTACGAAACAGAGTCTGGTGTCAAAACAAGAAATTAGGTTTGAAGAATGGTAAAAGTTGCGAGTTGCTATCTCGAATGCAAATTTTTTAGCAGTACATTGGACGTTCAAAGCCAGTGCATTCCAAAGACGGATAGCAGTTAGAGTGAAGGAATGAGATACAAATCTAGAATGGTGAGGTGGGGTTTGGAGTATCAGTCTGCTACTGGAACAAAGATTTTCTGGTGAGAGACGCCGGGAATTTCATACCGCTATTTCAAATACTCAGGTGCTCGTGGATCGAAAAATATCTTGCAAGTTTGCAAACAATCCTTAAGTACCTACTATACTGAATAGGAAGCCACTCAAGATGTTGACGAAAATTGGAGAAATTGGACGAGAGCAGACTTAGTATGAGAAAGTTCTTAAGTCGATAAAGCGAGCCGAGAGTGCAATGTATTTTACAGCAGACATTATCCATATAACCATCCCAGTGCAAAGTACTTTCATGAAAAGCCTACGAATTTTTACCTTAGCATTATAAGGAATCACCGAGCCAGCATAAGTAACTGGAATTGTGTTGAAGTTAATTTGCGACATATTTCAGGAACTACCGATAATAATTACTTGACATTTATTGGAATTGACCGAAATACCGAAGTTTTGTGATCATTCAAATATCCACGAAAGATTTTGGTTCAGTTACATATAACTTTATTCAAGTTTAGGTTACCTTTTATATTAAAAATCCGGAGACCCGCATTTAATTTATTGATTGTTAAAGATTACTTTTGTGTATTTTAAATGCCCCAGATTGGTATATCGTCGTGATTGTTGGAAATAACCTTCTCCTTAGACATTGCTTTGCTATCCTCCACTGATCATCAACACATTCAGGAGACACTAACAAGAGGGCATTTAAAGCAGTGTGCGTATGACAAAGCGGGAATGGCACTCCCGATTTCATGTAGCAAATAAGTCCATTCCATCAGTATCATATCAATATATGCTTTACGGAGGACGTTTAGGTCAAATAAAGTTTCTTCATTCTTCTGACCAGGTGAGTTGATGCCCAAGTAGCAATATTATGTGATACTAAAAAAAAAATAACCATAAAGGCATCTGCAATACTTATCTAATGAATAAACATATATGGGTCACTAAAATACAACATAAAAGTGACTAAAACAATCCATTATAAGCAATGTATCAATATGCTATATATTAACATGCTTAGATGGTTCTCTAAATTTACGTACATAATATTTTCACTGCTAAGTGAAAATCATCATAAAACACCTGCTGATATTACTCTATTATACAGAGCATCGATTTCGTTAAAAGATTGCATTCAGTGTCATAGTCAATAAAAATTACAACTTTAAATGTATATTGATCATGTTCAAGAACAAATGTCCTAGAATTGATTCCTAGGTGACATCAGAAGGATAATAAAGGTCTAATACACATGAACATTCAATAAAAATGACAACTTTAAGTGTATCATTGAACATGGTCAAGAACAGCAAAGTTCATAAAATTGATCCCCAGATGACGTTAGAACGATAGTTCAAATTGCTACCTCTAGTTTAGATGCTTGGCACAGAATCACCTGAAATTGGCTTCTAGACTAGTTATGGAGAATAAAGAACAGCTTCAGCACAAAGATGTTGCATACCACTCTGTTGAAAACCTCATAGAAATAGAAATTTATTTTATCGTTCATATGCCAGTTAAGTTAATTAGAAGTTATCATATCCATGCTCCTAGTAAGTTATTCGACTAGGGCCAGCCGGTTGGCATCAATACCATAAAGATAATTTTGGTATCAATACCGGTATTAAGAAAATACATTTGGAACGCACACGTTCTATGTTCTATGAGACATAATTTTGTAAAGATTTTTTTACATAATATATATATACCATATATATATATCATAAATGGATGGATTTATAAATTGAACACTATCACAATAATTAAACTAAGTTTATAGAAAAAACTGTGCTCCTACGGCTATCAAGCTTTTGTTTAAATTCTTAAGTAAAATCGAGATATTTTTAAAGCAAAAATTTGTGAAGTTTGGTGTGCGCAACTTCTTAATAATCTCAATAATAAAATAAGATTATTTTTGTGGTTTCTAAAATATCTTTCAGAGGAAATTTTGTGTCATACAATAGACCTTAGACCTTAGGTATAACAAAAAATATCTAAGCTCTGACTTCTGATTCGCTTGCAGAAATTTTAATGTTGTATATGGTAAACATAATAGCTACCGATTGTCGTTTTTTTAACAAACGCGTAATAACAGAAATTACTTTTTAATGATGTGTCTTTATTTAAACAAATACATTTAGAATTACGTAGTTCTTGGAAAAGTAGTGCCAATTCCAAGAATTACGAATAAATTATATTAGTCATTAATTTACCATTATTGATTTGATTACAATATCTAATTGATATTTGTTTGAATTAGGTGATGGAAACGAAAACGTCACAATTTGCAAGTTTATTTGTTTAAACAAACTAGTCTGCAACTTAAAATTTAGTGTTAGTTCTAGGAAAAGTGGAGACAATTCCAAGAATTACTGGTAAAGTTTATTATCGATTAAATTACCATTAACGAATACAATTATAATTAAATGGATATTTATTTGAACTAATTGAGTGCAATGAAGACAAGTAAATAATTGAGAAGTTACTTCTTAACAATTATTAAATATTTTAAGAGTTCTTTACCAAAATAAACAAAGTGTTTTATGACACTAAAAGCATGACGTGATATAGTTTCATCAAGGTAATATTTAGTGATAGCATTTCTGTAATGAATGAGTCAGTACCTACCTGCCAAAAAGATAGTAAAAATACCTACATCTTAAGTAAGCTGTTTTCTATATAAAGAAGCAAAAAGTTTATTTTTGTTAGTGTGCAATATTTTGAAATATAGAGATTTAAAAAATGTGGCTCTACTGTGGGATGATGTATTTTAT